TGCCCTTCACAATACTTTATGTTACTTGATTAATTCATAGTCTTCTAGGACAATGGTTCAGGTTCAATTATCCAATGCAGAATTATTTTTGTAAACAGGTACACCTTTAGGTTTTTTTTTTTTAAATTCTCTATGCCATCTACACAAAGAAAGTTGGCTACAGTGTACTAACTGTTGTTTTCAGGAATATTACAGTGAGAACACAATCTTTTCCTTGGTGCGACTCTCATACCACTATCCCTCTAAAAAACACGAAAACGGTCTTTAAAAAAAAACATTGTTCGATGCAGAAATGGAACCTTTGCACTCAAGGATCTGGAAATTTTTTAATATATTCACTAACCTCTAAGCCAAAAAGCCACACTCTGAGGTCAAGCCAATGTCATAAAAATTGGTAATATATTATTTTTACAATTTTCTTTTTAAAAAAAATATGTATGATAAACAACAGGGAAAGGAATGTGTTACCCAACTTCATAAATCATAGCCTAGCATCTATGAAGGCTTGACACTTCACACCAAAACAACAATGTCTGCTCTAAAGCCACCTTAAAAAAATAAGATACAACTTCACAAATAAAAAGAGTTTTTCTATCTGTTTAGGAAGCATGTCACCACTGTCTTTAGATCAGTGGCTGTGTATTTTCCTGCCGTACTGTACATAGGTAAACCCTCTCATATGGACCCAGTGTGATCTGCATCAATCAATGATTTAATAAATAATTGAAAGTATGAGCAGGGAGTGTCTTGTGTGAACCTAAATCATAAATATCACAGCCTCTTATTAATAGGAGATATATATATAGAATTGTCTTGTGTGACCTGAAGGTTCATCTTATGAACTCTAAAATATGTAAAATGTGATCTGAGATATATCTCTTTGACTCATGCAGTCTGTCAGGAAACAGTTATATCTGAGTCAGAAGAGGTTTAATCTAAAATATGCAACATGAATAGTTGCTAAAGACAGATCATTATTAAAGCAGGAAAGAGTAGACACAGATGAATATAGGATACAAATAAAACTAGGACAAATTAACAATCCTTTTTGACGACATTAGCCATATTGGGTATATAGTGCTAGACCTATAATTCTTAGACCAGTGATTCCCAAACTGTGCGCCGCAGTGCCCCGGGGAGCCGCAACATCTTCGCAGTGGCGCCACAAAATATTTTAAAATACACGAGTTTTTTTTTTTTTTAAATCTCTTACATATGAATAGTAATACTTTTACATGCATTAGGGTGCCGTGGAAAAATTGTAATTGAAAAACGGCGCCGCGACTAAGAAAGGTATGAGAAACACTGTATTAGACCAATCAGCACTCGGTGGGTCTGTGGTCAACATATTGTCGGCAGCCTTTACTTATCAGGACTTTACCTGGTACCTATTTTAGGCTGGGATGACCTGGAAGCCACGGCCGTTTCTAAAGAAAAAAAATCTGGCTCGATCCGACAAACTTTGGGCCTGAGGTGAGCATCTTGTTGCTACACCACTGCAGCTCCCAAAATGATGATAGTGTGGATTAAAATAAAACTAAGGCAGAGTCCAGATACAAACTGTACAGAAAAACTAAAACAATGATTAGAAAGACAATATCAGGATACTGTACATTCAAAACAAAAACAAAATAGAGAGACTGCGGTGACTGGCCTTCATCAGTAGAATTCCTAGTGTTGGTTACAGGTTAAAGGGTGGCTCCCCCAAGTGGGGGTGGGGGGACAAGAAGAGACCCACTACATACCCCAACAAGCATGTCGTAAGAGTCCACTAATTGGGGGCGTCCTTTAAAGTCGGAGTGCATTTGCCTGAGGTAAGGAACTAACAGTTTGCACACAAATAAGCAAGATCTGTAAAACAGATGTGCATACAACAGTCATGTTCTGAAACAAAACTAGAGTCCAAAGATGGACAAACAATCAGAGCTTTCCTCCAGAGTTTACAGCCAGAGAACGTGAAGAAGAAGAAAATCAGCAGAATGATGTCAAGAAACAAAACACAGTAAACAATTTTGTAATTCTAAATTTTATATTAAATTATGATGGCACAAAGAATGTTTATGTTTATTCGACAGATCAACCTCATGGCACATGGGTGTATCCCATAAGTGCTTCTTCTACTTCATGCCTGAGTCTGAAGAATCTCAGGGCAGTGCACCAACTCCATTGCAACGCTGAGGATCCTGAAATACTTCGGGTAGATTGTAAACTCCAAACTCTGCCCGGGCAGCGTCGTGAGGCTACTCTTTTCGATTTCCAAATGCCAAGGGATTTATTTTACGTGCCCAAGAATATACACGGGCATCTGATCTTACTACACAGAGACCAGGGGAAATTACTAGAAGTCCACGTACAAAATAGTCCCAGCCTTCGTTTGAACCCTGGACCCACAGCACTCAAGGCGGACACCAGACCTCAAGACCACTCAGCCCCTTGACCACATGGCACATAGAATTACAGTGCTCAATCATTGTTATGAGGGAGAAAAAATGCGTATCCAGTGTGGGAAGAAAGGGTTTAAAGTCAAGATGATCAGCTTAAGTGCATCAGATTTTATCTTATAGAGCTCAGTCTCTAAACAAAATAGCTAATTGACAACTGAGAGTGTCACACAGTGCATGGACTTTGTAGCTCCAGCAAAAAACTCCCATGACATAAAAATTGCACCTTTGAAACCAAACGAGGCAGGTCATGAAAACAACACTGACCTTCAAAGAGTGATGCAGACTTTACCACTTATCTATGCCTATGGCAGTTTAGCTACTGGTAGAGTCTTCTATTTCCGTCAGGAGCCAGAATAGGAGCCAGAAAAAGAGACATAACCCTGCCGCATTGAAATTAGACTAGGGCAAGTTAACTCTTTCAGTTCCAAGGGTTTAGCATCAGAGAGCTAAGGGGTGCTAAAGATAAATGTATGATCAGCGGACACTGTGGTCTAGGTTGGAACCAATGAATGAATGATGTGGCAGTGAAAGAGTTAAAGGTTAATGGAAGAAAACTGCTGGCAAAACTGGAGGCACTAAGACAAGGGCTTGACTAAACAATATAACACAATTCATGATTGAAATATAATTAACATATTATTTACATACATTTGTAAGTGTAAGTGAAACTGGGGTTAAACAGCAAACACATCAAAAATATGTTAAGATGGCTTACATAGTGAACTAACATTTTAAATACATTGAAAATATAATCTTTTTTTTTTAAAAACATATTTATGACGTTTAGATCATTAGTTAAATAAAAGCACTGTTAATGCATTGAGGAAACTTGACAACTAGAATGATCTTGCACTGGAACAATTAGGATAAAAGTAAAAATGGTAGTTGAAAAACAACACATGGAAAAGAGAATGAGGCAAAACGAAGATGGGGAAGACATGGGGGTCAGCTGCATGCAATGGCAAAGAATAAGATGGTTTGGCTAAGAGCCCACGCTCCTTTGAGAGATGAGGGCAGAAATTGCCTAAATAAAATATTTATAAAAAGTACAGCACTCGCATAAGAATCAGACACGCTACATTCTCTGCGCATATTCTGACAACATGAAAGTGGAAAGGGGGGGGGGGGAGACCAGGAGAGAAGATGTTGGATAGTTTGACATCATGACATGGAAGAGCATGTTTCATAAATGACTGACAGTACTTATGACAGACATGATTAAAGTAAGTCAAGTAAAGATCCCTTTTCACGCATTAGGCAAATGGGAAGAGCACCTATATTTTACAATCGGCACTAGGTGGGTAATGTGGTCAGCATTACCCCAGCCGCCTTTACTTCCCTGGGACAACAGACATGATTACCAATGGCACGGACTTTAATAATACAGTGATTACACATTTGTCCAAGTAAAAGACAAGTCCAGAATTAAGAAATAAATATTTTAAACACATTCCATATATCAGATGACCTGCAATTTTAAACTTAAATTTAGGAGAACATTTTGTCTCATACAAGGAAAAATATGAAAGGAACTTCTTCCATGCCTCGAGATGTGTTGGACATATTAATACCTGCCCCAATTTATGTTTTTTTTTTTAAAAGTAAAAGTCCCTTTTCCACGCTTTTAGGGCTAGACCAATATTTTTATAGACCAATCAGCACTTGGTGGGTGCCAATTTATACAAAATTAATATTCAACGGGTGACGTGATCAAAATCAAGCAGCTACCATTATTTTCCAGTACTCGTTTCTAAACAGGGTCAACCTGTGAGGATAAGTTGATTTTAATGAAGTTCAAACTTACAATCCCTGGGTGGGCATACATTTGTTCTACCACAGCTTTCAAAACTTATGATTTAACACCATAACACCATACAAATTGCATGAAATTAAGCTCTTTTGTTGACAAGTTGATTTTACAACAGGTGGGCAGTGTCACCAAGAAGAAAACGGCCATGTCAAGTTATTCAATAATGGGTAAGGTATTTTCTTGAACATTCCGCATTTTACTTTTTGTTAAACCTTGTGGCTGCGCACAACCAATGCACTGGAGGCGGTCCACTAGTTGACCAGCAAGTCATGAGACAAAGCCTGCTTTGGTCTGTGCTTGTTTTTTTCTTCTCCTTTTTAGGTTCTCCTTACAGGTCTATTTCTACACCTTATAAAGAGATTGCCACCAGTGATTTCTGAAATGAAGAGTAGTCCTCAGACTTTAAAAAAGCTGGCCAAACCACTGGTGTATGGTATGCACACAAAAACAATATTATTATTAATAATGAAGCTGTAAATTCTGAATATGTGCTATTTTGTGGAATTCACATAATTCCAGCAGTTGCAGCATTTGTGTGAACGAAAAGGCTCAAATAAACAATAAAATGCAATACAGTGTAAAGGAATTCTAACATAAAATCTGTTTATTTCAATCGTATCTGTCTAAAAAAACTGAATATTGTTAGTTACTTCCCTTTACTGCAAGCAGCTTGAACAAAAACGGCGGATGCTGCAACAGAAGATGCAGTTACCTACAAGTTAAAAATACTAAACCACAAACTAAAGTTAATCTTTCTCATTCTTCCTGGGCGTGTTCAGCATGGCCTCAAATCTCCGGTAAAATGCAAACTTGGAGAAGACATCTACAAACAACAAGGTTCCTAAGAAGACCAAACTGGCTCCAAGCCAGTGTGTTAGGGTGAAGGGATTGTTGAAGTAAATGATTGAAAAAACCAAGCTGATGAATTTACGAAGGGTCACCACAAGGGTCACGGTCAGCGAAGCGCACTCTGTGGTCAAGATAAAGACACTCCTGATGCAGACGTATCTGGAGTAACTGGTTAAGGATTAAAACCCACAAAAGCTTTTGTTCATTTTAGAGAGAGGGAAAACAGAGGAAAAAACATTGCTTTGTTTATGCGTTCTTTGTAAGCCTTGGTTATAAGGGAAGTCTGCTATTTTTGCTGTGTTCTATGGCACCTTTTTTGAAGCAATATATTTTTTCTGCCATCCTTGTCTGTCGAGAATATATGGTACATAATGTTGTTTTTCTTATCAATGAAAAACTGCATTTTTAGTGTCAGAATGATTGTGTTGGCACTTCAGACTGCTGTGCATGTATGCTGTTGGATTTCCTAAGGCGGCAGTCCTGCAAATTGGACAGCAGCCAACTTCATAACAATAGGGTGCCCCAATACTGTGTTTCTCTGAAAATAGGACCTTCCACAAGAATAAGCCCTAACATGATTTTTCAGGATACTTTTAATATCAGCACTACCACAAAAATAAGACCTACCATGATTTTTCAGGATACTTTTATTATCAGCACTACCACAAAAATAAGACCTACCATGATTTTTCAGGATACTTTTAATATCAGCACTACCACAAAAATAAGACCTACCATGATTTTTCAGGATACTTTTAATATCAGCACTACCACAAAAATAAGACCTACCATGATTTTTCAGGATACTTTTATTATCAGCACTACCACAAAAATAAGCCCTACCATGATTTTTCAGGATACTTTTATTATCACCCTGCCATAAAAATAAGCCATAGCATGATTTTTCATGATACTTTTAATATCAGCCCTACCACAAAATAATCCCTAGCATGATTGATCATGATACTTTTGATATCAGCCCTACCACAAAAATAAGCCCTAGCACAATTTTTCAGGATACTTTTAATATCAGCCCTACCACAAAAAAGCCCTAGTTAAGATTGTCAGCTAGAATTAGAGACTTGTAGCCGAATGGCCAGTTGTAGTACAGGCGCCACTGGTTTGCACATAGAATGAACTGATGAGATTAAATTCTGGAGAGTTATGGTGATGTTCTAGAAGAAGATGACACATCTGTTGTGAAAAAATATAGAATTCTGTACATGAACAACCGTAGATTCTATATCTGACCCCCCCCCCAAAAAAAAATACATCCCACAAAAGTAAACCCTCGTGCGTTTTTGAAAAGTACAAAGAAATTGAAACCCAGTCTTATTTTTTAGGGAAACATGGTGCAACTGTTTTATATGGCTGAACAGTTTCTAGGATTTCTCATGTTGGATTCACATCTTTTTCTTCTTTGTTCACCGGCTGTAAGCTCCAGGAGAAAGTCTTGGTTGTTCATCTATTTGCACTTTGGCTTTGTCCCAGGGCCTGAGTTTTGCATGTACATCCGATCAGTCACCCCTTCAGCATCATCATTTCTCGACCTGCCCTAAACCCTTTGCTGCTGAACATTCTCATCATCTGGGCACACCAATGCACCTCTTCTCATCACATGACCAAAGAATACAGTCTTACTGACACTGACCAGAATTACAAATACACAAAAAGGATACTGGGTAATTGTGTTGTAGAAAAGCCACAACCAAGCCCACGGCACTGATATCCCAAGTCCAGGAATAGTGTACGGATCTGAAAACAGAACATTCTCTAATTTAGTCTACTCACTTTCTTTTTCTTCTTCCCATAAAAGGTGAAAAATTATCATGATGGGATTCTCAGATGGGATTCTCAGATGGGATTCTCAGACAACTAATTAGGTTTGATTATGGCAAAGGTTACAGATAAGAAGAAGTTACTGGTTGGTTACCGTTGGAGTCCTTTCTCTTCTTCTTCTTCGAGTTCACCAGCTTTAAGCTCCAGTGGAAAGTTCTGGTTGTTCATCCACTTCTGGACTCTAGCCCTGTTCTAGAACCTGAATGTTGCGTGTACATCATTTCACAGTTCTGACTCCTTTGCATGCAGACTGTTGGATCATTGCCTCTCAGGTAGATGTACTCCATCTTTAAAGGAAGCTCCCAATTAGTCGACTCTTAAGACAGGCTTTTGGACAGGCAGTGGGTATATTCTTGCTTTCCCCACAACTGGGCCCCGGAACCCACATGGGGACGTTTGAGACCATTGAATTACTAAGGTTTTTTTAAACAAAGAATAATTTCAAAGTCAGCTGTTAAATCTAGCAGAAAATCCTGGTTGTTCATATACTTGTAGACCCTGGCTTTGTTGCAGGACGTGAGATTTTGCAGTGCATCAGTTTTACGGATCTGTTCAGTCTGTTTTGCCTTGCCTATCAGACAGATTAATTCCGATTCCAAATGCAGAAGCATATTAACGAGAAAGTCGGTTTTTCCTGCATTTGTAGATTTGTGATGATACGAAGTCTTTGGCTAAAGGTCACTGCATCTATATAACAGCTCCAGTACTGGCTGTAACTGTATAGTGTGTAGACATTGTAGGTATGACTATTTGTACCTGATCTGACCTGAGCATACGCAACTGAACGCAAAAAATATAATAATAATAATAATTCCCCCTTCCCTGCAAATAGTCAGACATATGGGGTGGAGGGGAAGGGGCAGGGGGAGGGGTGAAGAGTTTAAAAAAATGTCATGTCATCATTATGTCATAATAACCTCATAATGCTCAACATGGCTAAGTGAACAAAGCACTTGTTTTCATAGACAAATGGGAAGGAAAGAAGTTAATTCTGTAAACTCCAGCAGAAAGTTCTGGTTGATCATCCACTTTTGGACTTCAGTCCTGTTCCAGAACTTGAATTTTGCATGCACATCCGTTTTTTAGATCGAGCTTTCTTGTATGTAGACTGCTGGTTTCTCATCATTCAGGCAGATGGGCTCTAAATTCGGATGAAAAATCATTAATTAGTAGCCTTTTATGAAATGCTAGTTAGGGAAGCAGTGAGTCTATTCTTCCCACCTCCCCCCGCCCCAAATAGGGCTCCAAAACCCACAGGGGGACCATCTTTATACAACTGATACTGAAAAATATTTGCATACCTGACATGTTGAATTCTGAAACACACCTCAAAATATCTGAAGTCAGCAGCAGAAACCCAGGCAGTGGCAAAAAATGCTGCAAACAAAACAAAATGAAGGAATCTACTAACCGGCTAAAAACAATTTACAATAAGAATCTATTAGAAACATGAAAATTTAAATGAATGGCTAATGTGTTTCTTCTTTTATCCTTGTTCATTCTGAAAAGAACAACAGTTACCATGTATCCGTTTACAGCAGTGTTACAATATCCTGTATCTTTAGGCCAACACACTGCACATTGGGAGAATCACGCCTGCAAACCCACTTTAATACTTTTCTTTTAAACAGGTTGTAGTAATGTCACTCCAGGAACACTAATCTGGGCCCAAAAAAGCCGGAAGTAGCCAGATGTGTAAGCTAAAAGATGCAAACATCACAGCCATGCTGTAAACAGGCACAGCGCACATACAACCTAAAATAAATGAAGAACACAATGTTACTTATTTTCAGGACTACAGCTTGGAGGTGGAGTAAACATCTTTGTTAGTTACTGTAATGAATCATTTTCTCACTGGTAGGAGAAAATTAAGACATCGATTACTAATCATAAATTATGTGCGAAAGGTTGAGGATATGATGGTCATAACAGACCAAACTAACTCGAAGCTGGCTGTATGTTGTATGAAACATGAGATAATATGAGCTGAGACACAAGAGTTCACTTGAGGAAGGTTAAATAATTTGAGAATGGGAATGTAAGAATACTCAGCTCTGTCTGATGGTGTTTGAAAAGTGACTTTATTCACTGCATTTCTTTTTCTTCTGTGTTTGTCCTTATAGGGGCGGTTGACATATAAGGTTGTGGTTTACAGCTAGGCTGTGATATCTATACATTTCAGCCCAATACATCGCAGTTCAGCACATCTTTCATCACATTTTACAAAAGGAGGACAGTGTGTGAAATTCCCCCCCCCCCCCCCCCCCCCCCCCCCCCCCCCCCCACCAGCATGAGGCCGAGAATCCACATAAGGAATTTTGCGTAACAAGATTTGTGTTTATAACAAAGCTTCCTTCCACTGCCAGTAATGATAACAAGCAACAAAACAAACAACTTACATTATAGAACAGTGCTTCTGATGGATGCTTGCCGTAAACAGCATAAGTTTGTTCTTGAAATATACCCATCCGTGCAGAAAAAAATAGAGACACTACCAGAAGGCCAAGACCTGAAAGAGAATTGTTATCATTTTTAATAACCAACATTTGAGATGAAAATACTAATATGAAAATTAAATAAAACAATGCAGTCAAACAGTTACCCTTAAGATATTTTAAAAAGAAATTAGACCAATATTCAATTTCTCTCAAAGAATGAATCAATAAATCAGTTTTTTAAAATTAATACTAATTTCTCTCAAGGAATGAATCAATAAATCAATTTTTTTAAATTAATACTAATTTCTCTCAAAGAATGAATCAATAAATCAATTTTTTTTAATTAATACTAATTTCTCTCAAAGAATGAATCAATAAATCAATTTTTTTAAAGTTAATACTAATTTCTCTCAATAAATGAATCAATAATCAATATTTTTAATTAATACTAATTTCTCTCAAAGAATGAATCAATAAATCCATTTTTTTTTAAATAAATACTAATTTCTCTCAAGGAATGATTCAATAAATCAATTAAAAAAAATTAGATCAATATTAATTTCTCTCCAGGAATGAATCAATAAATCAAATCAATATTAATTTCTCTCAAGGAAAGAATCAATAAATCAATTATAAATAAATGTAATTAATATTAATTTCTTAAGTAATGAATCAATAAATCAACCAAGTACTGACATTAATGCACTCAGGACATCTCCCACACATGATCTATCCTTTTTCTCAGTAGCCAATGAAGAGTTTCCATGATAACAGTGCCAGTTGCAACCTCATCTTCTTCTTCTTTGCTTCCTTTTCTGCCGCTTCAGGTGTCGAGGGAGATGTAAGATCCTGCATCATGCTCTTCTGGCTGCTTTGACCATAGACACATCCTGGTGCTGTAGAGTTTCTGTGATGTTATCTTTCCGTCTTGTTCTTGGTCTACCTTTTGCTTAAATTCTCTCTCCTCTTTTGGTATATGCCTTGTATGGTATAGCATCAGAAAGCATTCTCTCCAAGTAGGCAAACCATTTGATTTGTTGTCTTTGTATGTAATTTATAATTGGTTCTGTACCGACATTATCTCGTATGACCTCACTCCTGATTCTATCTGCTACAACCTTCCACAGAGACCTCATTTCCATGGTTACTAATTTTCTGACATCTGGTACTGGTAGCATAAGATGGGAATTAATATGCTTTGTATGAGATGTCTCTTTGTGCTGTTTGGGATCAACCTGATCAAAAGATTAAAAGTCTACCAATGTTTTTCCCCTCAGCACTGAATAACCTTGTGAACCTTTATTGGCGACCCAATGAATTAGCCTTTCAAAGTATGAAAAATCTGTTACTGCTGCAGTGTTCATCTGATCATAGAGATTCCAAACAGAGAAACAAATCAAACATAAGAGTTGTCTTTAGAAGGGAAGAGAGTAGGGAACCTTCTTTTATATTTAAAAAAAGCCCGGCTTTCTAGCGAAGTTGGTTAAACCTGACGTTCGCGGCGGCCGGGTGACGAACTCCTTGTGGTCCAGGTTCACTCCCGGGGGTAGGCAGAAAAGCCACATTTCTCCCAAATTAACAGTACCTATAATGGAATCAAGGCCGAAGGGTTGCGATATCCATAGTACCGAGCCAAAGGGTTTACAACTCATGGTTTCTGAATACGTAAAAAAAAAAAAAAATTTTTTTTAAATAAGATTAATCTTCCTTGCTTCCCTTCTTAGCATAAGGGTAATCTACATCTGTACCTTCATAAGATGAGCAGGTCACTTGGCAAAGTCACTTTAGCCTAAGCTTTTATCTTATTCTTTCTTCTTCTTTTCTCTACTCTGGGGATGCCTCGTGGCATCAGGGCTGGAAGAGATTTCTGGAACAGGCCCTTCTGTTCGCTTCATATAAAGTACTTTTCAGTGTCTCTGATATTTTGCGGTCCATGTTCTGCGTGGTCGACCTCTGCCTCTGTTACCATTGAATCTGTAGAACACCGCTCTCTGTGGTGCCCTGTCTGATGCCAACCTTGTTTCATGGCCAAACCATCTGATTTGTTATCTAAAGTTACGTATTAGTTCTGTACTGACTCTACTCCTGATATCAGGGTTTCTAAGTCGATCTTTCCTCATTACACGTAGCACAGAACATAAACATTTAATTTCTATGGCGACTATTTTCCTTCTGTCTTCTGAAGACAGTGTCCGTGTTTGACAGTCAGCAAAGGAGATGCTTAAGGATGATGATGAATCAAACTATTACAAAAATGTAAGACTTGTAACTAACCTATAAGCCAGATCATGTAGTCATAGGCAGCATCTCCAGTGTGACTTACCATCACTTCCTACAGACAACATTGAACAAATTTTAATAATTTAGTTACATTTTACCAAACAAGTTGTTAGTTCTGTTGATAAAAGGCCAACAATTTACAACAGTATCTCCCCAGTTTCAGGGCCCATTTTGAGGAGAGAAAAAAAAAGAACCAACCCATGCCTCTTGCCAAGCATGTCATAAAAGTCAACTAATTGGGGGTGTTTCCATCGAAGAAAGGAACCAGCAGTCCCTGGAAAAATTGTAAAACAGATATACATGCTAAATTCATGATCTGGAAAAGAGGAAAGTCCAGAAATGGACAAACAAGTAAACTTTCCGGCAGAGTTGACAGCTGGTGAAAATTACGAAGAAGAAGAAAAATGGCATCATCAAATAATCTTTGATTCCTGATTCTTTTTTTCTTTCTACAGATTTTGTGCATTTTGGCCAACATATGGAAAATTCCCGCCCAGGTGATGTGATTATCATTTCAGATGTTTCTGTTTTGAGGGGCAGAAGAAGTGCATGGGGGTTCATAGCAAAGGCGAATTTTTTACAACTTAGATCACTATTAATTTCTCTCAAAGAATGAATCAATGAATCAATTTAAAAGCATGTTGTTATGTTATCACAATCAACATCACAGCTCACTTGGAATTCCCATGTGTGCTCAGTCCTCCAATAATGGTACTGGTTGTTCCAGTGAGCAGCTGGTTATTATGTCTCCTATCTCATCCTCAAAGGTGGCATAGACGTGCTTCACCGTGCTTTACTCCCATGTCATGCAATCATGTTGGTGTTAGAAATTATTCATTATTTTTACCAGCCTAGTTCGTACAGACTTGATGATATATGATAAATTTAGCCCTCTGCTTAGTTTGAAAGGTGTTTTAAAGGCATCAGGATCAACTTCAACTGGGCTTTACCCTATATGGCTCAGGGTCTCCCAACATAGTAACTGGTCATCTGCAAGAGCACTGCATTAATCATGACTTTTGGAGCTCCAGCAATGATCCTCCGGGTAACAAAATACCTACACCTGGGAACTGACAGGCAGAGTCCAAATTTGAACCCACAACCTTCAGAACATAAGACAAATAGTTAAGCCACTTTTACTTACTTTATTTTACTTACTTTTAGATCTCTGCCAAAAAAAGCCAGTGCCAATTTCTGCCTTTATTTACCACTTTTTGCAGTGAGGGCGGGGGGAGGGAAGGGGGGTATTTAAGCCTGAGGATTTATGGCAACATAGCTGGTGCTGTTGCCATGGACTGTGCAGGTGAGGATTTTATTTTGCCCTCAATATAAAAGATCCCCGAGGATTCAGACCATGTCTCCTGCCTGAGAGCCCAGTGTTCTAACCAGAGACCTTTACTACCAAAAAAATATTAAATAGAAAAAGGTTTTATTTGATCAAACAGGAACTTACTTTCTGACTCGCAGACGCAATGGTTGCTATTGTTATTCCAGTGGTAATCATGATCACTGAGAGGTATTTGGTGGGTTTGTATCTAGATAGCAGAAACACAAACATCTTTCCATAAAATGGCACATAGTAAATACAAAATAATTCAGTATTCTTTTTTCTAAATCTATTTTTCTGCTTCACAATGTGAGAATATGAACAAAACTGTGGAAAAGCTCAAAACTTGATATTAAAGGTTCACCTACATCAAATTAATACCTACGAGAAGAGATGCTTGAGAATAGCTGCCAACTTGTGACTTGAGACTAGTAAATGGATTGTAGGAACAACACATTTCAACAAATTCACTGAAAAGCAGAAGATAAATGGTTTGCTTATTTTGTCAATAACTTTTCACTAATCTACCAACTGTCCATTATTCATTTCCATATATCAAGATAGGACCTATATAGCTTTTAAGAATTCTCTTCTCACCTCAGCTGACAAAGAAAGATTACATAAAACATTCTTCATTTTGTAAAATGCTGCCTTTGCTTGAGCTATTCGACACTGAACTTCTTTAATCCATCTTCCATCTGATGTTATCAGTGTACCCAAGTACTTAAACATATCAACTTGCTTCAGGTTTGTCCCAATTACTTTGATGTTGCAATTTGGATGGTCAGTTTTCTTGGTAATTACAATTACTTCTGTTTTTCTGCTGTTCAAACTAAGACCATTCTCTTCTTATTCGCGTTCACCAGCTTTAAACTCTGGCTGAAAGTTCTGGTTGTTCATCCACTTCTGGACTGCAGTCCTGTTCCAGAACCTGAGTGTTGTGTGTGCATCTGTTTTACAGATCTGACTCATTTGTATGCAGACTGCTGGTTCCTTGCCTCTCAGGCAGATGCATTCCGACTTCGAAGGAAGCTCCCAATTAGTCGACTCTTACGACATGCTTTTGGGCAGGCAGTGGGTCTATTCTTGTTTTCCCCCACAACGGGCACCAGAACCCACACAGGGAACTCAGATCCATTGTTTTCACTTTCCTTTTCTTTACTATAAGTAAAGATCCTTTCCACACCTTAAGATAGTTTGGGCATGTGGTTCTGGTCCCATATCTTTAATGACGTCTCTGTATTCTCTAGGTGATGTAGTCAATACTGCACCAGTCACATTTATTTACCAGATCATTTCCTGGTATCTTGTTTTAGTCTGAGTCGATCTGAGAGCAGAGGCCAATTTGTTTAAACTTCCCCACCACTGTATGGATTCAAACACATAACAACAGGACAGGTAAGCAAGTGTGCTACCACTGCACTCTCTTTCCAGTGGCACACTGACGCTAGACTCTTTTCACAGACTACATGGCACCCGGCGAGTTATACAGTCAACATCATGCTAGCCACCATTACTTTCTAGACCATGGTACCCATTCTGAGCTGGGTCGACCATGGAGCTAAGGCAAAACTAAAAAAAAATATCTTTGTGTCGATGCTTTTATCACTGTATCTGAGCAATATTTTGTTTAAAGCACTGTCAGTTGATAGCCATGATACTGACCAAACCATTAGGCTTAATGCTCTTTTAAAAAAGTCTAGCACTAGATTTTCTTCCTCTACCCTTGATCCCAACGACGGTAACATAGTGGCTAATGCTTGCCTATCAGTCCGAAGGTCTTGGGTTCAAATCAGCATAAAATTGGATTTTTTAAATAATTGAGATGCAGACCCAGACTTAACATAGATATTGTAAAGTGTCCTGGGAAGTAAAGGTGGCCACAGTGTTGTTAACCACATCCGCCACTGAGCCCAGATAAGTCTATAAAGACATAAGTCTAGCACCATATGCTTGATGCAGCAACAAATATATGGTCCTTTACTATTGATTTTTGAAACTATACACAAATATATAATTTGTCTTTACTAGAAGACCACATTAATCAAATGATATCTGTTCAACAGTAATAAGGTTACTTACGATCTTTTTAGTATGAGAACCCCCAGGACAAGGTTTGCTATTAAAGAACCCTGCAAAAAAAAAATATATATATATATAAAAGACAAATTAAATGGCAAGTAAAACTGTTCAGCCGGGTAAAACAACTTAAACCCGTACCAATAGAAGCATTTCTTTTATGATGGCTGATACTGTAACCAATGGCTTGATGGCTCAAAGCAACTTATCACAAACATCAGAAAGAGACATGCATAATTTATTGCTCCTGCTATGAGACGAAGGAAACTGGAAGAAAGCGCAAGAAGATTCTTGACAGTTTTTTGTCATGGCATGGAGTGGTCTCAACACGCGAAATGATACATGCAGTTGCAGATCGCAGATTGTGGAGAAGCATGATCGCCCATGCCATTTGGCAAGGCACTTGATAATGATGATAATACTGCAACACTGTAGGACCTCATATGTACTAGGTAAACAGCAATGTGATATCTTCTTCTTTTGCCCTTTGACCCAAATGGAGCATTTGTCCAGTTCACAGCAAGCATCCCCATCCTCATTCAGGACACTACGTTGAATCTGCAACATTCAAAAGACTACAAGAACTTCAGGTCAAAAGAGGTGTTACCAAGCATGAAAGCCATACAAGCAGACAAAGGAGAATAATAAACCAACACAGAACTGGTGCTATCAGTCACCACACGCTGAGGGTTATCCTGAAGAAGGGATCCGTGCGCTTATGGACTTGTCCAGTGTGCAATGAGGATGAGTAAAAAAAAGTAAAAAGTAAAGTTCCCTTTTCACGCCTTTCGGCCCATCCGGCATATGGGAGCAGCGTCCGTGGCTAAGGCGTTGCGAGTCCGACTCGTAAGCCAGCATACCGCGATCGAAACCCACTGCAGGCTGCATGGATTTTTGTCGTGGTATGGGGACGTCGCAGGTCGACCCAGCCTAAAATGGGTTATCTGTAGATTAACTAACTAACTTCACCATCTCTTGCTATCTCACGCATCTCACATCCATGCCCTCCCCATCTTTCTCACTTCTGTCTCCAATTCTCTTTTATGTGTGTTCTTTAAGTAAAAATAAAGGACCATTTTCATGCCTCTGTGCATGGAGCATACAGTGAGTGCCAGACCTATATTTGTATAGACCAAACAGCACTTGATGGGTAATGTGGTCAACATCACTTTCGCCCACCTTTAATTCCCAGGACAATTCCTGTTACCCAGGGTCAACCTGAGAGCCGAGGTCAATTTTCAAAAATATCCGACTTTGATGCAAACTTCGTGGGGCTGTCAAGCATCTACACTACTACCATGGCTTTCCCTGTGTGTCATTTGGTCTCTCTTTATTTCTGTGGCCCTGTGAGCTTCAGTGCAAAGACATTCTTTCTTTCTTATAGTTTATTCCATGTGGCATTAGTCACCATGTCTGTCCACAGCATTCTCTCTTGTGTACTGCCAATTACTTCTGAAACAGATGTTCCTCCCTGCCATAAGATGCTAACTGTCAAACATTTGCTCTTACTGTTTTAAACCTGCCTCTCTTCCCTTCTAACTGTCCTCTTGTCATACACTCCAATTTTTCACTTCTCATTACAAGCCTAGAGTATGCCTTTGATTTGTGCAGCAGTTGAGTCGTGGTTTTCAATATGGCCGGTAGCAGGTTTATGTATTGGCTGGAGAAACAGTATAGCCAACTTACTGTGACAAACTACTTCCATTAACCACAGACGACAAACTGTATTTCTGGTTGTGACTGCTAGCTTTGGCACCTCTAAAAACTGCCATATGCATTTACTGCTTGAGCTTTTTCTTGGACTGTGCTAGAACAATTTTTTGTTCACCAGTTTTTTGTTTAATGGGACAGTCAGGGACATTTCACTGACCGGCACAGAAATTCAGCCAGTGCGGCAGGGCTATTCGACTAAGTTTACTCAGGGGCCAATTTTTTTTGAAAATAGGGATCATCACGGGCCAGAAGCCAAAGCATATAGAGATTATTCATACAATATAACTGGCAAAGATCTGCGGGCCACTTGCTAGGCCTCTGCGGGCCAGATGTGGCACAAGGGCCACAAGCTGAATAGCCCAGAAGTAATAAAGGGTGACTCGACTGCAGTGAAGCTGAAACCTCAACTAAGACTAAGAATGTAGATTTCTCCTTCTGATGTAGATAACCAGTTCTCTGTGTTGGTTAGTTTCTTACACGGCATCTTTATAATGCTTTTATACTTCCATGATGTTGATAATTTAAAAGTAAAATAGATCATCATCATCAGGTGCCTTGTCGACTAGCGTGGGCGATCATGCCTCTTCATACTCTGCGATCTCCTGCGGCATGTATCAGTTCGTGTGCTGACACACCTCCATGCCATGCAACAAGACTGTCAAGCATCTTCTCTCATTGTCTTCCTCTATCCCTCCTTCTACAGATCTTTCCAGTGGTCACAACATGTTCTGTTTTCCCTCTTCTCATAACATTGCCGAAAAATAATGACCGTCTCCTTCTGATGTCTGTGATAAGTTGTCTTCGGGCTCCTGCTTCTTTCAAAACCTCTTGGTTGCTCTTTTTGGCTGTCCAAGGTATTCTAAGCATTCTTCTGTAAAACCAAAAATCTGAGGCCTCAAGAAATTGTTTGGCCTGCCTACCGATTGTTCAGGATTCACAGCCATGTGTTAAAACTGGATGTATGTAGCAAGCAAGAATTCTTTTTCTAACTCTCAATGACAAGTATATATTGCACAAGATGTGTTTCATTTTATAAAATGCAGTTTTTGCCTGTCCTTTTCTGTTTCTTATCTCAGTTATGTATCTTCCATCTGATGTTATCCATGTGCCCAGATACTTAAATATATAGATACACCTTCTATTCAACTTAGACCTGTGCAACTTACGGCCATAAAGAAAATAAATAAATAAAAATAGCATATAAAGAAAGATGACATTCATAGGGTTAGAAAGTTCCAAGAATTGATGCATTAGAGTACACTGTGTGTATTTTTAACATTATGTACAATAATTACACAACATCAATTGAATTATTGTGTTTTATGTAAATTTGTATAACCCGTTTAAATAAAAATAGTGTTGAAAAATATAAATTAGGCTTACGACCATTTTGACTTACCATCTTTTAGTACTTTTTAAAAACCAACTTCTATATTTTTAATATCCATTTTATTTGATAACATCAGATGGAAGATGTATTAAAGAAGTTAAATGTCGAATAGCTCAAGCAAAGGCTGCATTTTACAAAATGAAGAATATTGTATGCAGTCTGTCTTTGTCATCTGAGACTAGAAAGAGAATTCTTAAAAGCTACATAAATCATATCTTGATATACACAAGTGAATACACAAGTAAATTAGTGAAAACTTATTTGGAAGCTGCGGAGATGTGGTTTGATAGGCAAATGATGAGTATACCCTGAATCGATTAAAAAAATAATGAAGATGTCTTGAAAGAAACTGACTTAGGAAGAGAACTGATTGCCCACACCTACAATCTTTGGTCATGTGATGAGAATGAGAGAACTGGAGTACATCATGACAGTAGGAAAACTGGAGGGGAGGAGAGGCAGAGGGAGACCAAGAGAAAAGATGCTGACAGTCTGACATCAAGATATGGAGGATCATCTGTGTCAGAGTTGATTGAAAGTACAAGAGACAAAAGGTTGTGGATAGACATGACTACCAACGCCACATGGCACAGACTTTAAAAAGAGAAGAAGATTAACATAAGCCAGCAAACCAACAAGAAGAATGCACAGGATAGAATGAAATGGATGACTAGTGTTTGAGCCCTATGTAATAACGCCAGTTTACATATACAGATACACATCTACAGAGGGCATTCTAGTTTTACTGTTATCAGGTTTTCCTGTTTGCAGATCTAGATATTTTCCCTACTGCATTTATGTGTGGCATCCTGATTGTTGTGGTGCACCTCCTGGCTAGCTGCCTCTGACTTTAGCACCATATTTGATAGGATAGATTGTTGTCTTACTCCTGGGGCAGAAGGTGCAACTGAATTATACTACCTGACGTACCAGTCTCTTATAAACAGAAGAAGAGCATAATCAAATCAGTTGGAAAGCCACCAAAACTGGCACAAAACGATTACCATATTATGGACCGACCAGAGCAAGTCATAATTCTACGCCTTAGAACAGGACACAATCAACTTCGCAGCTGCATATACACAAAATTCAAGATCTGTGAATCAGCCATGTGCATATGTGGACTGGCACCTGAGACAACAGACCATATCCTCCAAGACTATCCCAAATACATATCTCCAGGCAAAACTTCTGGCCAAGTGTGACAACTGGTGGAAGCCAAACTTTACGGGCCGCTAAGTGAATTACAAAAGACCCTGAAGTTCACACTAGAGATAGCACTGCAGACATAGATTATTTATTTCAAGTGAACTAAAGAAGAAGAAATCAGGTTTTCTATTAAGCAGATTTTTTGCAGAACCTTGCTCTCTCATCAAGGCACACCAAAGAGTCAGTCACCTGTTCCCATTCCAACATTTCTACACTGTGAATTTTCATCCCAATGGTGTTCTTAATATCCTGTGACCACCTTCATGCTGATCAATCTCTGCCACTTTTTCCAGGAACTATACCCTCCATCACTGTCCTCTCCAAGCTATTTCGGGGTTTAATACGGCCAAATTATTCCAGTTTACAAGCAACTATACTGTCTACAAACCAGTCTCCACTCATGTTCAGAGGCCGAAGAACGTCAGTATTTTTCCTATTCCTGGCACACATTACTCTAAGAATCTTTCCATAATATTTCAGGTCAAAGACTCAGATTTAAAAAAAAACTTTCTTCTGCATTCTGAGCCCTTAAAGTCTGTTGCTGCAGATACTGCCCATCTCCATTCAAATCTGTGACTGGCTTTTCAGCTGGTGATCTCTCCACCGCCTTCTTCGTCTGCCTCATGATATACTTCCATTCAACTCTTTATTTGTAAAGAATACAATAATGATAATGAAAGGATACAAATGTATGATACTTACAGATCGAAATATCATGTGCAGCGGCATGGAGATATTGAAGCTAAATGTGTAGTTATTAAGGGTTTGCACAATGAAGAAGAAAAACACCATCAGCAAGTAATACCTACATGAAATAAACAAAGTTGACACTTTTGATACAAAACCGTTACACATTACATTGTAGGAAAATGGTATATTTTACTAGTGAGTGGTGAACTATGTTGGAGCGTGGTATTTTTTTATTGGGGAGTGTTGGTCAATGTTGCAGCAAAGTATATTTTACTGTAGAGTATATTTGACTGTCGATTGTTGATTTATGGGGATCTGTGTTGGAGCATAGTATCTGTACTAGTGAGAGGATCATGTTGGAGGATGGTATTTTTTATTGGGGAGTGTTGGTCAATATTGCAGCAAGGTATATTTTACTGTAGAGTATAATTACTGTTGGAGCATGGTATTTTTACTAGTGAGTGTGGATCTGTGTTGGAGCATGGTATTTTTACTGGGGAGTGGGGATTTGTGTTGGAGCATAGTATTTCTACTAGTGAGTGGGGATCTGTGTTGGGGTGTGGTATTTTACTGGTGAGTGGGGATCTGTGTTGGGGTGTGGTATTTTACTGGTGAGTGGGGATCTGTGTTGGGGTGTGGTATTTTACTGGTGAGAGGATCATGTTGGAGGATGGTATTTTTTATTGGGGAGTGTTGGTCAATATTGCAGCAAGGTATATTTTACTGTAGAGTATAATTACTGTTGGAGCATGGTATTTTTACTAGTGAGTGTGGATCTGTGTTGGAGCATGGTATTTTTACTGGGGAGTGGGGGGTTTGTGTTGGAGCATGGTATTTTTTTACTGGTGAGTGGGGATCTGTGTTGGGGTGTGGTATTTTACTGGTGAGTGGGGATCTGTGTTGGGGCGTGGTATTTTACTGGTGAGTGGGGATCTGTGTTGGGGTGTGGTATTTTACTGGTGAGTGAGGTTCTATGTTCCAGTATGGTACTTGACTGGTGAGTGGGGATTTGTGTTGGGGTGTGGTATTTTACTGGTGAGTGAGGTTCTATGTTCCAGTATGGTATTTGACTGGTGAGTGAGGATCTGTGTTGGGGTGTGGTATTTTACTGGTGAGTGAGGTTCTATGTTCCAGTATGGTATTTGACTGGTGAGTGGGGATCTGTGTTGGGTGTGGTATTTTACTGGTGAGTGAGGTTCTATGTTCCAGCATAGTATTTAACTGGTGAGTGGGGATTTGTGTCAGAGAATGGTATTTGACTGGTGAGTGAGGTTCTATGTTCAAGAATGGTATTTGACTGGTGAGTGAGGTTCTATGTTCCAGTATGGTATTTGACTGGTGAGTGGGGTTCTATGTTCCAGTATGGTATTTGACTGGTGAGTGAGGTTCTATGTTCAAGAATGGTATTTGACTGGTGAGTGAGGTTCTATGTTTCAGTATGGTATTTAACTGGTGAGTGGGGATCTGTGTTGGGGTGTGGTATTTTACTGGTGAGAGGATCATGTTGGAGGATGGTATTTTTTATTGGGGAGTGTTGGTCAATATTGCAGCAAGGTATATTTTACTGTAGAGTATAATTACTGTTGGAGCATGGTATTTTTACTAGTGAGTGTGGATCTGTGTTGGAGCATGGTATTTTTACTGGGGAGTGGGGGTTTGTGTTGGAGCATGGTATTTTTACTGGTGAGTAGGGATCTGTGTTGGGGTGTGGTATTTTACTGGTGAGTGGGGATCTGTGTTGGGGCGTGGTATTTTACTGGTGAGTGGGGATCTGTGTTGGGGTGTGGTATTTTACTGGTGAGTGAGGTTCTATGTTCCAGTATGGTATTTGACTGGTGAGTGGGGATTTGTGTTGGGGTGTGGTATTTTACTGGTGAGTGAGGTTCTATGTTCCAGTATGGTATTTGACTGGTGAGTGAGGATCTGTGTTGGGGTGTGGTATTTTACTGGTTAGTGAGGTTCTATGTTCCAGTATGGTATTTGACTGGTGAGTGGGGATCTGTGTTGGGGTGTGGTATTTTACTGGTGAGTGAGGTTCTATGTTCCAGCATAGTATTTAACTGGTGAGTGGGGATTTGTGTCAGAGAATGGTATTTGACTGGTGAGTGAGGTTCTATGTTCAAGAATGGTATTTGACTGGTGAGTGAGGTTCTATGTTCCAGTATGGTATTTGACTGGTGAGTGGGGTTCTATGTTCCAGTATGGTATTTGACTGGTGAGTGAGGTTCTATGTTCAAGAATGGTATTTGACTGGTGAGTGAGGTTCTATGTTTCAGTATGGTATTTAACTGGTGAGTGGGGATCTGTGTTGGGGTGTGGTATTTTACTGGTGAGAGGATCATGTTGGAGGATGGTATTTTTTATTGGGGAGTGTTGGTCAATATTGCAGCAAGGTATATTTTACTGTAGAGTATAATTACTGTTGGAGCATGGTATTTTTACTAGTGAGTGTGGATCTGTGTTGGAGCATGGTATTTTTACTGGGGAGTGGGGGTTTGTGTTGGAGCATGGTACTTTTTTTACTGGTGAGTAGGGATCTGTGTTGGGGTGTGGTATTTTACTGGTGAGTGGGGATCTGTGTTGGGGCGTGGTATTTTTACTGGTGAGAGTGGGGATCTGTGTTGGGGTGTGGTATTTTACTGGTGAGTGAGGTTCTATGTTCCAGTATGGGATTTGACTGGTGAGTGGGGATTTGTGTTGGGGTGTGGTATTTTACTGGTGAGTGAGGTTCTATGTTCCAGTATGGTATTTGACTGGTGAGTGGGGATCTGTGTTGGGGTGTGGTATTTTACTGGTGAGTGAGGTTCTATGTTCCAGTATGGTATTTGACTGGTGAGTGGGGATCTGTGTTGGGGTGTGGTATTTTACTGGTGAGTGAGGTTCTATGTTCCAGCATAGTATTTAACTGGTGAGTGGGGATTTGTGTCAGAGAATGGTATTTGACTGGTGAGTGAGGTTCTATGTTCAAGAATGGTATTTGACTGGTGAGTGAGGTTCTATGTTCCAGTATGGTATTTGACTGGTGAGTGGGGTTCTATGTTCCAGTATGGTATTTGACTGGTGAGTGAGGTTCTATGTTCAAGAATGGTATTTGACTGGTGAGTGAGGTTCTATGTTTCAGTATGGTATTTAACTGGTGAGTGGGGATTTGTGTCAGAGAATGGTATATTACTGGTGAGTGTTGACCTATGATGTAAAAACTCAGCTTGTATAATAAGATACTGTCAGTATGTATCAAGCAATGTAAGAACTGTTGCTTTATCTTTTATCTTTGGTCTGAAATCTGGGAAGTAAAGGCTACCAGCTTGATATTGACCAAATCACCCATCAAGTTGTAATTTCTGCCGCCAAAAGAAAAAAAAATCACCATTAATTCACCAAAGATTCAAACCTGGGACTCTCATAAGAGTTCCCAGTAATTTAACCACTCAACTAGCTGCTGTCTTCAATTTCAAAATATTTCTCAATAACCTTAGAAAAGCACATACTATTATTTCTTCTTCTTCTTTGTTCACTGGCTGTAAGCTCCATCAGAAAGTCCTGGCTGTTCGTCCCTTTGGACTTAAGCTTTTAGTCAGGGCCTGAGTGTTGTGTGTACATCTGTTTTACTGGCTTATTTGTGTGCAGTCGTTTGTTGCTTGCCACTCAGACAGATGCACTCTGACTTTGAAACCCACCACCAGTCTACTATGAAATGCTTGTTGGGTAGGTAGTGGGTTTATTCTTGTTTTCCCCATGTTGGGGATCCGGAACCCAGTGGGGCAAGAGCACACACACAACTTAAGGGAACTTACTTGATAGGTATGGCGGAACGCTTTGTGAGGAATCTAGTTGTGAAGATCAAACCCTCCAGACAGTTGAAAACAAAAGCACAAAATGTAACAGTATTGCCACTGTGAGGGTAGACTCTGAGAAAGCCAAGCAAACATAATTGTTATACAGTGTAAATTAATTACAAAATTTAAACATTAAAATACCACATAACACCTCCTTTTCCTCCCTCTCTTATTTATCTCTCGGCTTCTCCCCTCTCCCTTTGCTCTCTCTCTCTCTCACCCCTCACTGTCTCTTCCTATATTTGTCTTTTACCCTCTCTCTCTCTATCCCCTCTCTCTTTCTTTCTATTTCTCTCAGACTTTTCAGTCTGTTGTGTCATGTTCTGATAAATATACTGCAAATACAATATCGCATAAGGCATCACCAGTTTGTGTTGTAACAGGCCACTCACCATTTTCTTAATCTGCTGGTTACAACACTTACCATGTTGAGCATAATCAAAACACACTCCCAATAAAATCAACAACTCAGTGTTCTTCACCCCCCCCCCCCCCCCCATGCACTCAAGTGAGTAGCTGGGCGATGGAACTAAATACTTTTAGTCTGCATACAGATGAATGAAATGCAACAGCTAACCATGGCTAGAAGCAAATAACGAAAATAGTCAGCCTGCCTTTCCACTATAGTGGACTAGAAGTATTTAAACAAACTGTGTTAAATACACAGGACACGCATCTGTGAGAATAGAAGCGCACTATGCCGCAAACTTACTTTATAAGCTCCTCAAGAAAAATGATGTTGCTGCAGCAGCCGATAAACACCAAAGAAATAGGGATGGCTGGATGCATGATGATACAACACAGTTGGCAAACCTGTTCCTAAAATTATCACAAGCAAAGGAATGTGACAATGGCATGCATGATTAATTCTAAAATTATCCTTATGTGAATGCAGGAATTTTCATCCTCTTGAGCCTAGGGAGGTGCCTAGGGCAGAGGTCACTGCTCCCCATGTCTGGTGGTACGTCACCTGTTTTAGGTCTTCAATGTTCATTGGGCCCATATTCTAAAAAAAGGTTGTTGTACGATGGCGGCTTGTTGGGCCATTGATCAACAGTCTTAAGCCAAGTTAGAAGGAAACACATCCCGCCATCTTGCCCCAAACCTGAAACACCCAGTCATATAGTGCTAGATCTATAGCCCGATCGGCACTCGGTGGGTGATGTGGTCAGCATCGTGCAGGCCATCTTTACTTCCTAGGTCATTATCAGGTATATATTTTAAGCTGGGTGGACCCGGGAAGCAAGGTCAATCTTTCAAAGAAAGAAAACTGCCTTGACACTAATCTGAACACTAGATTTCTGGGCCAGCAAATCAATGTCTAGCCACTATGCTACCATGTGTGTGTTTGTGTGTGTGGTGGAAAAGGGGGGGGGGGGGATTGCATGCCTGTGTGTGTATGAATGTTTGTATATGTGGATGTAGCTGCCTTTGACTACATGCTTTTATTGCACAAACAGTTGCTATTCTCTTTTTGCCAAAAATAGAGTCCTGGAGAACCCACACCAGGAATACAGCACATAATTAATAGATTGGGGAAAAGGTGGGAGAGGAGAACCAGTGTTTTTTTTTCTGGCACTTGTAACAGGTATAATTTTTTTCACTGAAACCTTTTTTTCAACACTCTGTGGTGAGTACAGACACTTTCTGTTCTAGAAAAGAATATCATGAAAAAACCCAGAGATTACAGTCTGAAAGCTCCCTAATTTAGTGGCTAAAGTGTGAGACAAGAGAGGTATAAGTAAGTGGATTAAGTGAGTAAAGCTGTAGGTAGAGAGTTTCTAAATTTCAGGATTACACTGTGTAGGATTAATCAAGTAACAGAACCTACCAATCAAATACCTTTCTTAAATGTTTGTGTATTCTAGACAAAGCAGTAAGGTCTACTGTGTTCGTAAATCGTTGCTGTGATGTTATTCGACACATGCTTCGTTAATATAAATTTCTGTAACCTATGGTGCCATTTCAATGGTTTGAAATGAATTCTATTCGTATCCCATAGTTGTGGATTTCAAGCTGTACAACAGACATGGCCAATAAGACACCTTTTTTTGGGGGGGTGCCTAGTTGACCATGTTCTTAGTGCACTTGTATCCATGGTGAGGCAAACACGCCATCTGGAGGTGACAAGTTCAATTCCCGGCACGGTAACTATAGTTTTCAATTTTTATGTTGTCTAGTGTGTTCTTCTATCTTTCTACTTCTTTCTATAAGTGCCGATCAATACACTTTCTGTTACTTGATTAATTCATAATATTTAATGCCTTCAAAAGTTCCCCCTCTGTTTAATTATGTTAGGATTAACACCTCAAGGATGAGAATCATTATCATACAGGTAAAATTCCCAGAAACCCAGTTCAGTCATATAACATCTGGGCTCTACTGGCAAATTTGGCCGGTAAGCTGGACTGCTTCGGCCGGCTTAGCGGGAGTTATGTCCCTTCGCATCCCTTCGCAAAACTCAAAACAAGTCGCGGAAAAAGTCACGAATCAAATGACATACTTACCTATCATCATCCGGGTGCGTCTAGGGCTGCGTAGGGTTGCGTCTAGGGTTACCTATCATCATACGGTTGCACGTAGGGCTGCGTAGGGTGTCTATCATCATCATACGGTTGCGTGTAGGGATGCGTAGGGTGTCTATCATCATCATCATACGGTTGCGTGTAGGGTTTGGGTTAGCGGTAGGGTTAGGGGTGTGGGTTAGGGTTAGGGTTAGGGGGTAGGGTTAGGGGTAGGGGTAGAGTTAGGGTTAGATGATGTGAAAATATTCACGTAGGAGGTGGAAATACTGGCCGACAATCTGATGTTTGTGGGAGTGGTGCCACTGGAAGTGTGCCAAATATGACGGCAATAGCGCGCGGCTGGTGCCCAATCGGTGGCGAATTGTCCGTGTCAGTAGCATCCACCGTCCGTCGACTGTTTGCGCGTGCATGCGACTGTACGCGATTGTAGGGAACTACGGCGTCACAATTGTCACATCTAACGCTACACCTAACCCTAAACCCTAACCCTAACCCCTAAACCTAACCCTAACTCCTAAACGCTAACCCTACCCCTCATCTATCTTACGCAAACAACCAACCCTACACGCAATAAGCAGCCCTACACGCAACCGTAGGACGATGATAGACACCCTACGCAACCCTACACGCACCCGGATGATGATAGGTAAGTATGCCGTTTGATTCGTGACTTTTTCCGCGACTTGTTTTGAGTTGTTTTGAGTTTGGCCAAGAGACATAACTCCCACTAAGCCCCGCTAAGCCGGCCGAAGCAGTCCAGCTTACCGGCCAAATTTGCCAGTAGAGCCAACATCTGAGTTATACTGAGGCCCTGGAGGTTAATTAAGTTACACAGTAATCTTAGGTCTGGGCCGCCAGGGATGCGTATACGCAGAGTCCGCCTGTGAGTGAGTGAAACTGTACCCCTCTAGGACAGCATACTGAGCGATTAACACTTTGCGCCTCGAAGAGCAGCGAGCCACTATTTGGATGAAAATCCACAAGTAGTATGAATCCCAGAAATCCGGTTCAACCGTGCGACAGTTATACTGAGGCGCCTGAAAATAACGAAGTAACCTGCAACCTCACAGGGTTGGGTGAGATTTAATTAAACCTATCATTCAGCTTACTATAGTAGAGACTGGAGTTAAATATAATGGTAGAGAGTAGAGAGTCAAAAGGTTACAAAGTATAATTCAACTTATTTAACTTAACAGCTCCGATGTTTAAAAAACAAAACCCACACAAACACTAAATCTCTTCTAAACAAAGAAGCATTAAAGCAAAATAATTATAATGCTGAATCATTGATAAAACCACAAATCTAAGGCCATACCTGGGACAACTATCTGAGACAGACACTCAAGAGATTCTCACTGGCCCTCCACTCTGAGAATCTACAGACTACAAAACACAACTGAAGTTAGTTGTAGGGTCAAACATCAGTTCTTAACAGTAACAAAATCCTTGCTATCAAGTGGTTGCAATTTGTTTCAGTAGAAAGCAATTCTATGCGTTTATTAGTTAATTTTTACATGTATGCAAATAATTTCATAAATTGCAAGAATATGCTTCGAAAACGGAGTGAACACTTTATATTCCAGTGAATACTTTATATCCCAGTTATAACCCGGACGACTGAACATTATGTTTTATGTGAGAACTACAACTACATCTAGTTTGTTATGGTTTCTCTATAAATGTCTGTTCCGCGGGTAGCTTCTATAATAACCCACACTGTTTAACTCTTTTTAATCCTCAGTGTTATTATGTGAGCCTTTCTATAATGTATAACAATCTAATACTAAAGGTAATAAATACATGCACATGAAACAATCAGTTAAAGTGATACCTGCGAGGTACTGGAAGATTTAAGTTAAGCAAACGGCTTGTTATATTATTATGGTGTAAAATGTAATACTAAAGGTAATAAATACATGTACTAAGGAATCAATCAGTTAAAGTGATAGCTGCCAGGAACTGGAAGAGTCAAGTTACAACAAACGGCTTGTTATATTGTTATGTTCTGTCCTTCGTATATACATACACAAACTGAGAAATGAACAAACACGCATGTTGATCATGTGTGTACGTAAATGTCTATGTTGGCTTTCCCTTGCTGTAAATAAATACAATGAATGAATATAGCGACACCTGAAGCAGTTTGTAGAAGGTAACTCATCCTCAGCTGTAGGGTGAATAAGATTAAATGAACAATTTTCCTGACTTTTTCTATACGAAAACTTGTCACGCGTCTATTGGTTATTATAAACACCATAATTATCGTGTTAAATAAATGTGGGTTCCGGGACCTTCTTTTGAGTGGGAGGGAAGGAGTTTGTGGTACTAGACCCACTGCCCTGCTAACAAGCATGTCGTATAAGTTGACTAATTAAGGGTCTTTCGAAGTAGGAGTGCAGATGCCAGGGAGACGAGGACCCAACTGTCTGAATACACATAGGCCAGATCTGTAAACCGGGTGTACAGGTAGAACACGATTTTGGAACAAGACTAAGTCCAGAAGTGATGAACAGCTGGAACTTTCCGCTGGAGTTTACAGCCGGTGAATACGAAGAAAAGGAGGGAATAACAGTTATAACACTAAGGGTAGAACATGATATTATTTTTTTTCAGTACTGCTACTACTACCACCACACATAGGCACCAGAACCCGGGTGGCTTAGATCTGTTGACCTTCCGCCCCCCACCAACACATATACACACAATTCGGAGATGGGGTGGGGGGGGGGGCGTTGAGTACGGTTTATTTTACACATTAATCCAGTGACTGCATGTGCTTCGAAAAAAAAATGAATTACGGAGTGCTTATGGGAATGTCCGGAACGCTGTCATGTCAGTTCTTAGATCAACACTCCACAACAACAAAAGAATACACGGCCTATCTTTGTTATGCTGTCGTGTCTGCGTTTACCCTAGCTTAAAACAACAGTAAGCCAGATGCTTTGTGTTAGAGTGTATGTGTTATATGTGAATAGAATTTGCCGAGTGTCTAGAATAATGGAGGGAAATTTTTAAAGTTTTTCACACAAGCGCCGGAACCTGGGTTCGCATCCCTATTGAGGCCACCTCCATCTGGAAGAGGCGAGTTCAGCCCTCTCCCTCCGCTCTGTCCCAGTAATATACACGAGGGGAAGTCAATAGTAAGTCACAAATAAAGGTAGTAAAGGTCCCTTTTCCAAGCATTTAGGCGTGTTGGGAGTATAGGGCTAAACCTATATTTTTATAGATCAATCAGCACTTGGTGGGTGATGCGGTCAGCATCAC